CTGAAGACATATAAGTCTCTGATAAACACATTTGCACACACATATGCATATATATTTGTGTGTGTGTATATATATATGTATACATATATACATCTCTTGATCTGGAGGGGGGGAAAAAAGTGTTTTCTGTGAAAAAATTATATTGGTGATGGAGCTGATATTGGTGAACACATATACAACTTTTGATCACAGAGTCTGATACTCTACACTACTACACCGGTTCTGAGCAATAATATACCCAGCGCTGAAAGGTGAATGATCACACCCCCAAGTGCTCACTGCTCGCCATCTCTCTGGTGGCAATAAACAGCGATGATCCTCTCCATTCTCTTCAGTTTTCCTGCTGAATTTATTTACAAAATGGGAAGAAAAAGTTTGGGTACATCTATTAAGTGAAACACAATGGAGATTCTTGATTAAAGTAAACAGAACATCTTAAAGTCACCTTGAAGCAGAGATGGATCTTTAAAAAATGGAACCACACTGGTATTTAGTTTTCACCTACTTACTGTCTGATCTTCCTCATTTTTTTAATAACCAACCTTCACCTCTTTGGTTACAGGGAGAATGCCATTCTGAAGCTGGTGAGACTGACCACAGCATGTGGAAAGATCCTCAAATTGTATAAATTTACATAGCTGTTTTCGATGTCAATAAGGCAGTTGAAAATCTGGTCTTCAGGCTATGAAGTCCAGTCCTCTGTCCTTGTAACTTCCCTCAGTGTTTTTTTTCAAAATTCAAATTTAAATTTTCTAAGTCTTGTATTCAATTATATTTGATAAATTTGGGAGAGCAGAACAGACACAAGTTCTATAGCTGCTGGAAATGAGCAATTTCAAATGTGGGAAAGCGGAGCAGGCTTAATAGCTTATGGAGATGGTAAGATTACTAAGTATCCAACATAATACCAAAATCCTAGCACCATATACATTCCTTCTCCCTTCCTTCCTCTTTTTTATCTTTAAAAAGAAGCTACCATTTAAAAAAAAAATCTATGCTTTTGCTGCTAGATCTACTACACAAGAACAACACATTAAAAGAGGGGTTACCTTAACCTATGCCCATTTTTCCTCTAATCATGTCTGCCCATGAGGCAGAGGCAAGCAGACGGAGCAGACAGATAATTCAACCCCTTCCCAATTTGCATACATCTGTATCTCAGCTTCGATATTCTGTTATTACTTGAAGATATAAACTCTTCTAAGATACGGCCTTCCAGTACCTGAGGGGGGCCTACAGGAAGGCTGAGGAGATTCTGTTTACAAAGGCCTGCAGTGACAGGACGAGGGACAATGGCTTTAAGTTCCAGAACAGCAGATTTAGATTGGATATTAGGAAAAAGTTCTTCACTATGAGGGTGGTGGAACGCTAGAACAGGTTGACCAGGGAGGTAGTTGAAGCCTTTTCCCTGGAGATACTCAAGGTGAGGCTCGATGAGGCCCTGGGCAACCTGGTCTAGTTGGGAGTGTCCCTGCTGACTGCGGGGAGGCCGGACTAGATGACCTCTGGAGGTCCCTTCCGGCCTGGACCATCCTACGATTCTATGATTCTCTTTTGGTCCCTTGCTTAGGTTTAGCGTCCATTGTTTTGTGGATTTCTGTTTCTATATGCTAATAAAAATATCAAAGGATTTATGGAAAAGTGCTGCCTGAAGCGTCTTGCAAACATTACAGCAAATAAATAGAAGAAAATACCTACATGATCTTGAAGAAAAACATAAATAATAAAACTCTTTATGACTTGTCATTTGCATGTCTGTATTTCATACAAATTAGTGCTAATGACATAGGGAATTTACTTTGAGAGCAAACTTGCCATTTATTTTGATGTCTAAACAGAAATGGCATGGAGTGTTTGGGTAAAATGGTTCATGTCAGAACTGAAAGTGCAGCCAAGAGTGTTCCAGCTGCAATCCTGTACTTAGCATAAAATGAGTACAGAGAAAAATTTCTCTCCCCTTGAATACCCTCATGCCTATCCATATCAACAGACTAGGTCACGGTATTATCTAAGTCATATGAGATGTCTCTGGCTTCAGGGGACAGCGCAGTGTCTTCTTTTCTCTGTCCACACCCATTTTGCAGGCTATTTCATCACTATCGTGTTCATACATCCTTCAAGGATCCCAGCTGGTAGGACAGCCAACAGCCAAAACCTGTTTATATGACAGAGCTGCATCACCAGTAAAAGTTAAAGCTGCCTCAACAGTCGACAGAAAAAAGTACTCCGTTCTGAAGTGTATCAATATATCAGTAAAGCATCAAGTTACATACAGTTAAGTACTCACACCAAGTCTCCCAGTAAAGTTAATTCGAAGTCTATCCCTAAATTCAAGAACAAATTTTCAAACAGACAATTCCTTAGTTGAATTTATATAAAGTCTTTGAAGGAGCCTGTACATTTCCATGTTGGTGGTGAATCACTAGCTAAAATGCCAGTGTTAAGCTAACACTTTTTGTTATTAAAAACATTTTTGAGATTAATGATTCTTTACAATGAGCTGAATTTCTTGCTGTAAGACATCTCTGAAAATGTCTTTCACAACAGGTGAAAGTGGGCTGGTGAACAAGGCTTGCTTTCAGAGGACTTTAAAAGAATCCATCTCAGACCCCGGTCTGTTTGTGTTGTAGCACGTCAGGCCAGATTGCGATCTCCGTCATAGTAGTGTAGCAGGATAATGCAAGCTGCTGTGCCAAAGTAAATGCTCTACTGGCTTCAACTAAATTATTTCAGATTCATGTAAATGCAAGTGGAAGAGAACTGAGACTGAATATATTAAATTAATGACATGTGGCATGACCAAAATGCAGTAGTCTATGCAAAAACACTTTTAGAAACTATCAGGACTCATGAGGCACATAGAGTTTAAGAAAAAAAAAAAAAAGAAAGATGAATGATTTCAATTTTTCTTTTCAGAGTACAGTTTAGTAGAGTAAAAGGAATGAAGTGCTACAGAATTCCTGAAATATGAAACTCCATAATTACTAAGCATTATGTACAAAAGCATTGTTTGGTATTTTTCGTACCATGGATTATCATAACTGGCTTTTACAAGCTTTCTTTTAAACTATAAGAATCTGTCCATCCACAACTGAAGTACTCTTGCAGATTAAGATTAATGTATCATGAATCATCACGGTTTAATATGCATGACATAGTTTCATTTCACACATGTTCTGCCTGGGTTGATTGCCATGTATGCCAATATCAAACAGATGTTAATTCTTTAATTTTTATGCTCCCAGAGTATACTTTAATTACCTAGGAGGCTTGGCAAAGAAAAAGAGGGATTTATTTTGAAGCAGATTTAATAGAAAATCCAAAATAAAAATCTGTTTGAAAAATAATTTTTGAAATTCATATTTTCAGCAATATAAATTTCAATATTAAAAAGAATGCATGATATGAAAAGGAACTGCAGACTGCTCTCATTAACTAGCACATTCCTTTTTGTAAACAAGAGAAGGATTTTTCATTATTTTTCTAATAAAACCTATGATTTTATAAGGCCTTCCAATTAAACACCAGCTTTGTGATATGAAATATTTCTGTAAGTCACCTGCAAGGAACTGTATGTTTATACTATGTCTAAATTCTTATATTTGGGCATTTTGCAAAAAAACTTGAATCTCCATGTAAAAAAAAACATCACTGTATAAATTCTCACATCAACAGTTCTCTATTTCTCACTTTATGGATCATCTAAATTAAAAAGCCTTTAACTATAAAGTATTTCACAAGTCTCCACTTGTACAGAGGCCAGAAATGGAAATGAAAAGATAGCCTAAGTTAAGATTAATGTATAATGAGAAAGCTGCTTCCAGCCAGCACCAGCTCCCACTTTATGCTGTGTCAGATGCAAGCCAAGATTCTCCAGAACCAGAACAGCAGCAGAGCCACAGGTCAGATTGGAAGAGTGTTGGCTAAAAACTGTGAGCTTTAACTAATTTCCAATTTGATCAAATGGAGTTGTTGTTAGATGAATTTCCATGGAAGTTAGGGCAGGTCTCTAGCTTTGGGCCAGGTCTTACTGAAATCAACAGGAACAGGAATGGCTTCCTGGGATTTTGCACTAGAATTAGTTTTAGCAAGCTGAAACAGTCTCCAGGTTGAAAATTACAATTACCAAAACTGGTACTAATAATAATAATAACAGTGTCATATTAGATATGTAAATAGTTATGTTAGATAGTATAAATAGCAGATAAACAATAATAGTAGATAATATTTTCTCAAAACCAGGATATTCTGCCCCTCCCCATACCACAGAGATCTTTTTGCACAGGGATACTTCAAACACCAAACAAATTATTTAAATTTCTTGATTACATACTTACATGAGCTGGCATACAGCTTTAAAATGAAAATGTGAACTGGCATTTTTAAAAATAACTGACAGTCATGGCACAAGAGTCCAGTGACCTCTGTCCTCCAATATTCCCTTTTTTTTTTTTTTTAATGCCCAAGTGCATGCAAGTTATTCAGAAAAAAAAATTGCTAATTATCAGGGAAACCCTCATTCCAAGGAAGTCAAAAATACAACATTCCCATTGCATTTACTGGGACAAGGAATGAATCTAAAATGTAGATTTTATACACACCACACAAAACACTTGTGCAGATTTCTGAAAACATAGACTCATCGCATTGCAGGCAATCAAGCCTGCATTCCTTGCTCAACCAAAATTCCCTGACTGGAATAACAGCTTTAGATGTTATTTTTGTTCTCATTCTGGTTTACTATGTTAAATCACCAGATTTTTTTTTTCTTTTTACTTAAGATAAATGTGTGAAAGTGCCTCCTTTCCATTCATAGATGTTATCTTCCTCAAACTTCAAATGATTCAGCTGGGTGAATATAGAGTTATAAATAATTTATCAAGATACATACCAGTTGTTAGGAGAAAAAAAAAACCAACCCTGAAGGAAGAATATCACTGCATAAAATCTGAACATTAAAACTGATTTTTTAAAAATCAATCTTTAATTGTTTTTATTACCTCCTAATCCAGGTCTGAGACGATTATCATAACCATCCAGAAGTCTGTCTAGAATTCTTGTAAAGATGGTGATGTTATTCTTAGCTTCGTCTTCCAGGGAGTCAGCCAGCACTGATCTAAATGGACATTTTACATTTTAGAAAGTGCTAGATATGTTTTAATGTACACTCAACATGCAGCTGTTGCAGGCTGGCCTTGAATATTTAACTTGCTGCCCTCTACCAGGAAAGGTGCAGTTAAAAGTATATGAATAGACAATTTATATATAATATGTTCAGAAATGCAAGAGTTGATGGTACACTGTTTAAAATTTCTAGGAATTCATTTTCTGGTAGCCTCTGCTTCTAGTCAACATTGCATCACCCCAAGTGCTCCTTCAGGCTCCACTAACACATTTGGTGCAGGTGCAAAAGCCTAAAAGATCTTCCCGGGGCTGGGTGGCATGTCACTCCCGGACTGATAACCCCAGTTCCCACACACAAATCTGTCTCCTTCCAGCTTTATCCTATCGGTCCTCACTTAGGTATACCCGATCTCTGGATAAATCCTGTGGATATGCTTCCACCCAATGGTCATGTAACGTACATGACCAGAGGAAGGAACATGAGGGAAAACTCCAGCGATCATGCTCAGGGAGTCCTCTGATGTCAGTGTTTGGTGGGTGGGAACATCGATGCTGACTAGCAAGCTAGCTGTGGACAGCCTTCATGTCTCTAAAATGCTATTTTGTTATAAAAAGCACTATCTGCTGTTCCACTAGACGCAGGCAAACCAAAGTTGGATAGGAAAAAAAATATCATAAATGAAACGTCAAGAAGAATCTACAGATCATCGATTGTTTCAAACTTCCCCAATAAAGAATGAGATGTTACAGCCTTTATGGGTCATATCTCGGTGGAAAACACCAGGGGCTGGAGCACAAATCTGCTGCCCAGCTGGCTGTGGTGAGGAACAGTCCTCCCAGACCTGGACACCCCGACCAAGGGGGTGGTGTGCTGGGGAAACACTCCCATGCAGAAAGCCTGGCACATGTGAATGTTACTGTACCCACAATTTTAAGCACCAAGCATGTGAAATGCAGAAGCTCATCAGTCTTACCTACTTAATACCGGAATATTAGTACCAAGGAAGTAAAGCATCATACGCTACAGGCATTATCATTTCAGCCTTTTTCAGCCATGTAAATCTTTAACCTGAAATGTTTATTTATCATCTCTAAATGAACTACTTGATCGAGGCTTTCCGAATGCCATAAAAACAAGCATGTTTTCTTCCTCCTCCAAATCAAAAGTAGGTTTGGGTGACATTTTCTCTAAAGCAAGCTATAAAATGATTAAAGACAGAGTTTTATGTTGGTACCCAATTCAACAGCATGGAGGAAGTATTTAAATGTAAATCATTGCAGTCTGTGCTTTCCATCACACAAACCATAGAATCGGCCAAAATCAGATAACTTATAAAAAACATACCAAAACGTCATGCATTATTTTACGGATGTGTGAGTTTCTTCTTAATTTTAATTACTGGATGGCTCATTTCTCATTAGCATATATTTGCGTACTGTCAGTCTCTGCCATTTTTAAGCTTCTTTTTGAGATACAACAGTTTTTTTGAACTCAAGATACCACTAAAAAAATAGATCATACAATTATATCAAATTAGGGTTGAATCCTGCAAACTTTACTCAGGCATAAACTCCTTAATTACGCATGTAGTCTCTTTGACGTCAGTGAGATTACTCACTTGAGTAGGGTTTGCAGGATCTGGCCCACTGTGACTCAACTAATATTGCACCATTGTTAAGCGTAAAGTGGAATAGGAAACATAGTTTCAGGAAATATTACGTTTACTAGGAATTAGACAAAAATAAAATGCAGGCTTTTAAAATCATGGGAAACTTGCATTATTTAGCTTATGGTCCTTACCATATTAGGGCAAGACCTACTGCAGTCAGAACCAAAGCAAATAAACAGAAGTTACAAACTACAATTAACTGCATGTTTAGGCACGGTGAGCAACACAAAACTATTACGAGATAAAAATTACTTTCTCTTATGTTGTCACTTTTGAAATGGAGAACTTTAAACAACATAAGAAAAGTTGATTAATAAATGAGGCTATTATTATATGTGATTGTGGAGTTGTCTGCTATCTCCACCTAGAGGTTTAAAGCTTAAGCATCATTTTGAATTGTTATGTTGACCAAAAAAAATGACCAAAAAAAAAAGAAGGCATGCCCGTATTAAAAAATATGCGAGCATTATTTTAGAGACTGTGATTTACTATTTGACTTCACGATAATCTGTTTCTCCATCTTAACTGTTGTGCATTCTACAGAATCACAGTGATACAGTAACTCCAGTAAATCTTTAAGAGTCAATAAGGCATTTAAAGCAATTATTTTTTTAATGGTGAAATACAACGTCAAAACATAAAACGTTTAAGGGCAAGAGAGTAGGCTTACAGGGTCCCTAGACCACCTTCTAGTACATCTGCTCTGGAAACTATGTAATACTGCATTCAGACAGCTAAGAAAGATTTTTTCATTACATTACATTACTACATACTATACTCTTATAACCTCTCACACAAGCTTCTCCTTAGCAGATCGTAACAGACATGTTTGCACTGAACGACAAAATTAAACGTCCTCTCACCTTGTTGGTAGCCACACCAATAAAACGAGGAGAACCAACTGCATCTCGGAGAGTGCCAGCTTCCTCTTCATCGCTGCTCTTCGCAAAACCTAACCGTGCAAGAAAAACACAAACCCGCTCTCAGCTACAGTCAGTCTCGGCCAAGCAGTGCTTTCAACTTAACCCGAGGAAAAAAATATGTCACTTCAGTGGAGAAAGGAAAAACCACTGGCTTTCTGCAGCACTTTTCACTCCTAGCAACTTAGGGTATCTCCATCTTTCCCAACGATCCTGCTCTGTGCAAAGAGGCAACGTATGATCAAAAGTGGCATGTGAGCAGACGCATCAGATGCTTTTCCTTTGCCGTAAGCCCCAAGACGATAAGGAACAAAAAAAAAATAAATAATTAAAAAAAAAAAAAAGATAATAATAATAAAAAAAGAAAAACCAAAAAACCCTAAGCATAAAAACAGAGGAGGATGATGAGGAGGAGGTGGTGGAAGCCCTCTCCTCCCCGCAGGGCGACAACTTGCCGACCGCAGCGGAGCCCCGGGGACCCCTACCTGGGAGCGGGGAAAGGGATGGGGGCGGGAAGGGAGGGGGGGAAGGAGGGAAGGGATGGAGGGACCGGAGGGCGCCGGCGGCGGCGAGAGCGAGCCCGGGGTGGGGGGGGAGCGCGCGCGCGCGCGCTGGTGGCGGTACGCGGAGGCGGAGGCTCCGCCGGGCGCGGTGCTGCTGATGCTGATGCTGCTGGTCCTGCTCCGCGGGGGTGGTGTCGGGGCCGGTAGGGAGGATGCGAGTCACCCTGCTCCTTGCTGGGGATAACGGGGGGGTGGTGGGATGTTCCGCGGGCGCGGTAACTTCGCCCCGCTGCGCGAAGGGTAAACAGAAGGAGGGGGGGAAAGAACGAGGCACCGCGTTTTCCGTCAGCCTTTTAATCACCTCTTGTTAAGCAGGGGGTGGGTTGGTAGGGCATAGCCCGAACAACCCCTCTGCGCCCTTTCGGGGAGTGAAGAACTGCCAGCGCCCGGCTCCCACCCTCCGCCGAGGATGGCTCATTAATATTCCTTTCCCCACTTGCCCATTGGCACAGTCTAATTGAAATGCAGAGAGAAGGGAAGCCTGTCATTTAAAGTGAGCTCAGGATGCAGGCAGCCAAGAAAACAAACCTTGCTTTTTTTTTTTTTTTTTTTTTTTTTTTGCTCGGATTGCGTTAGTTTGTGTTGTATTGTCTTTTAAAGCACGTTGCCCTCCTTTCTTATACCCAGTTCTCCTTTGGAAGTAACTGCTAGGATTCATTCCCGTTGATTTTAGGTTTTCCAGCACAAGTAGATCAGGACAGGCTTGACAATTGAGGGCTTATATTTAGTGTACCCTCATTTTGCATTGTTAACTTCGAAATAATTAAATAACACCAGCCATAACATCACAGCTTTTTTGTTACTGTTCTTTTTTTAAACCAAGCTCCATCCATCTCCTTTCAATCTGTTAATTGCCGAAAACACAGCTCTCAATTATCCTCTTAACATCACTGGCCTACCTGCTTATTTTTTTGAAGTTAATTCGCTGAAGTTTGCTTCTGAATCATTAGTGGTTCCAAAATGAACCTGTGAAGTTGCGTGCACAGACATGGTGAAAAAAAAAAAAAAGAAGGGAAAATAAAAAAGAAAAAAAAATTCAGTTAACTACAGAATCAGCTACAACAATGGGGGGATTCTTTTTCCTACTTTCCTTTCTGCTGTGTTTCCTTTGTTTCCTGCTTCCAAAGTGTTGCTGCTTGCAACTGGAGGTCCCCTTGTTTTCCTTCTCTAGTGGCTTAGTGACTCCACAGGAGAGCATGAGAGACAAAAGGAGGAAGAAAAGCACTCGGGCTGTCAAGACGAGCTGTTACTTCCAACTTCAAGATATTTCATAACTTTCAGTAAGACTGGGAAGAGAGAAGGAACAAACTTGTTTTTAAATAACCAGTAAAATGACAGCTCAAAGTGTGGGAAATGACAAAGATAAGGACATGAGTGCAAAACCTGAAATCTGACAAACACTCCTTCAGCAGCATCTAACCCTGGCCATGTCTAAGGTACAAGGCCTTCATCTTTCTCTGTCCAGATGTGAAGATGTGCTCTGCTCACAGTTCTTCTGTGTCTGATCAGTTAAGCATCTCTGGTCAATCTAAAGTCTTCTTTGGACCTCCCTGTAAGTCCCCATGTATTAGAAATTAACAAGGGGCAGGATCAACCCTCACAGTAAAGAAAACTGCTTTTAACTACTTGTTCTAAGAAAGGGTGACTTCACAAATATCAATATGCAAAAAAGAAAAAAAAAAAGTGAAGAGCCTTGGTGATTTATCCTTATGTGAAATACCTTACATAATAGAAGCCAAATACTTTTTGTTTTCCGCAGGTATTTGCAGCACTCCTTCCCAAAAGACACTTCAAGTAACCATAATACCGAAACTAGAATCTAATCTTTGTATGTGAGTTCCATCAAAAAATACAAAAACACAGTTGTTAAGGAAAGTAGTCACAGTGGCTCCTTGTTGCTGTGATAGCATATTGTCATTCTTCAAAAGCCACATGGGGTAGGTATGTATTTAAAATGAGCTTTTGCTCAAAGCCTTTCCCCAGAAAAATGTGCTTGGTTTTAGGCTCTAATCACAATTATTGCTTGTGATGTTCTTTGAGATTTATCATAGCTTCATGCATTGAAGTCACACTTCAGATAAACCACACACCTTAAAAGTATCTGAAACTTGAAAATAACTCCTCATTCCCATTCTCAGACAAGTTGGACAGCCCTCGGCATCCCAAATCACAGGGAGGCTGAGTACAGGGACAGATTACTGAGGCACTGCGTGAGATCAGAGGCAATATAATTACTACCAGAGAGAAGGTTCTTTGTGATATTCCCACACCCTTATAACCCACGCTGCTGATGAACTGGAAGGCATTTAAGGAGAAAAGTGTGTTATTGCTGGGTTTTTATTGGGTTTTTGGCTCATATGCATGCATGGCTCACAAACACTAGATGTGTTAGCTCTTGTTGGTTAGAAATAGCGCACTTGAGCCCCCTCAGGTGTGTGTGGTCAAGAGGGACCTCTCTCTTCCCTTCTGTGATATTACCTGCAGAGTGGTATTGAATGCAGTCATTCCTTATTGAATTTCAGTTAGCTCTGAGTCATGTGCAGCATCCAACACATCACCTGCATTTGTGAGACTCTCCTGAGCCCTGAGGCAAGTGCTTTAGAAAACAGGGAGTCATGCCGTTGGTTTGAATAGGACTTGAAACAGTCCACTGGAAGGCAGTAGGTCTACAAATTGCTATTTTCAGAGTATAAACAAATTCTTTTACTTAAAAGGCTTCTTTCCTGCTGTATGTGCCGAAATATAAAGCTATAATTCAATCCCTATTTTGATATTTAAAAATATCTTTAAAAAAAGGACTTACTATTATTTCCAAGCATCTCAAAGCTCTGCACGTGCTGATAAATGGTTTTTCACAATACCTTTGTGAGATTGGAAAGACCTCCTCTGTGAGGACAAATTGAACAGCAGGACAGGTATGTGACATTTCGTAAGCACTTCTTCCACTTTAGAAGTAACAGAATCACAGGAGATGCTAAGCACAGGCAAGCCATTCTCTGTACTGCAAAATACTAAATCAAATGGTTCCTTTACCATTTTGTTTAAAAAAGTCATTTAGAAGACAAAACTTACTCCATTCTTCAGGCAAAATAAATTACTCAGAAATGATACCTCCATTTTGTAGCCATCAGGGAAGTGGCAATAAACATTTTCTGTCATGGACATAATCAAGCAATGCCAAACAGAACTTACCACAGTGAGCTGATCTGGGGTACGTGCTGCAGTATACTAGTTCCAGGTAAAAACTTTGGCAGATTGAGGTAATCGTCATATACTTTGTGCTGCTTGAGAATAATCCTCACCCTTATATCTAGGCCAGCAACACTCTTAGCTGTAAGAATAAAAACAATACTTATTTGGGTTCAGTAAAGAGATACACATATGTGAAAATTGAAGTAATATTTCAGAAATGTTTATATGTGATATAGCAGGGGACTTTTTTTACTATAAAGTATGAATTTTATAAATGCCTTAGTCTCTAACAAGGTGTCTAACATACCTCTCAAACAATATGGTATTAATCATTGGAAAGACTATTTTATTTATCCTTCTAAAATTTACATTTATAGGAATTAAATAGTTAACCGTTCATGTATAAATGCAAGTGGTTCAAGATACATAACCAAGATATGTCTTTGTAATTTTAAACATTTACTTTATTTTACTTTATTTTATTTTGTCTTATTAAATGAATAATAACAAAATAAAAACTTGAGGGAAGAATTGGTTTTTGACCAAGTCAGTCCCTAGACTGGTTCATCCTGCAGCTACATGAATGCTAATCTGAGCAAAAAGAAAGAACAAGCTGGATCCTTTCAGGAGCAGCTCCACGTTGCGTCCCATTTAACTGAGGATGGAAATAAGATTTCTGTAAGAAAAGAAGAATCAGGTCTTCAAAACTCCTGTAGTCTCTGACTTTCTGCAAGATTGCACCCCAAATCCATCAGAGAGATGAAATTATTTTGAAATGCACCATTCAACTATAGATGCCAGTATAATAAGCAAGGAAGCAACAAAAATCTTATGGCTTTATGTGGTAGCCGCTTTTACTAGTAAGTACTTGAGCAGCCTTTAATCTTTGGGATATTCCATCTAACTATGACACTCCAGGACTGGGAAGAGTTACTGTGCATGCTTAAAAGCTCTAACTATCATGCAGACTGCCTGATTGAAGAGCAGAAGTAAATGGCCAGTGCTAGCTTCGTTTCAACTGTGTGTTACCAGCTGTAAGTCACTTCCCGACGTGCCCTGGGAAGTTCAGCACAACAGGAAACTGAAACAGCTTTCCCATCTTACCTATTGATGAGATTCTCAGGATTGTCCTTCCCTCAAGTTTGAATCTTAAAACCCACATGAGGATCTTTTAGTCTTCTCCAAATACATGGAGATCTACAGAAAGAGTGAGCAGAGAGTCTTGCTATTTACCAGGAGTACAGACACTTGCATCATCGTTTTAGAGCAGGTGTTCCTTGGCGGGACAAACATAAGGCAAGCAGCAGAGGGCAATGCAACACACGCACCAGCTGGGATGGGGAAGATCAGATACATGGAATGGGCTCATAACTCTTGATTTGAGTGAGTGGAAGGGGAAATCTGCTTTGATAAAGAGCGATAACTTTCTTCAGCTACAAATTCCTCTTTTCACATCTGTGGCAAGCTCACATATCACAGCAAGCTGAACATAAGTTTACAGCAAAACAAGACCTTTGCTCTGGGTAGGCAAGACAGAATGCAGAAAATGCAAATATATGTAAGAAAATTTCATAAATGTTTTTACATTTGTGCTACTTGCACAAATACGGTCTGTTTTGTCTTTCAGATATTCACTCAAGTGTTCCTTGGACTTTGAAGATGTTTTTCATGTAACACAACACAGATTTGTGATGTCTCACGTTCCAGGTGTCCCGCTGGGACAAGCAAACCTTGTTTATTAGAGGGATAGAAATATTCAGCATTCCTAAATATTGCCA